ATAAGAATTTCCCACAACCGTTCCTAACCATTTCCCTGCTGGCAAAAAAAATTTGGCAATGTTATAATTAAGTAAATAATGAAATTTAATCGTAGAAGAAAATGGACGATGATGAAAATGAATAAATTGAATAGATTAGGGCTGTGGTAAAAATGATGGTGATTGATTGTTTTAAATTAATGTATTGTGCCATTAAAATTTTTTATTTACTTCTATTTCTACTCAAAGTAGTGTTTAAGTGAAATTAATGTAATGCACGCACCACATCAGATTTTGTTTTTTCTGTTGGTATTACAGACCTCACAGATCCTTTGCCTCCTTAACCAGTCTTCTCCATCTTTGCCAATCTTGGGCTATTTCTTTCCAATTATATACATGCACCTTTATTGGTTCATTCTATCCATCTGGTTTTTGGCCTTCCATGTGGTCCCTTGCTTACTATTAAGGCATTCATTGTTGTGAATGCTCCATAAATAACTAATTTATGAGTAGATAGATTATAGATTAAATATGACTAATATAATTGCATTCATTTGTTTAAAAATATACCAAATTAAATAACAGTGAAATAACTTAAAATCAAAATTCATTATTGCTTTTCGAATGATTTACATAATTTTATTATTTTAGTTTTTTCTTTTTTTTTTCTCACACCATGCAAATGCACTGCGGCATCATTGATGCTTATTATGCTTCATCCTATTCTTTGTTAAAACAGACCGGATGCCTTTGTGAACTTTTATAAATTTATGGGATTAATCGATTCAATGGGGTTCAGTGATACAATCACTTCCAAAAATAAAATACCGCAATCTAGCCTAGTAATCACATTTGCATATAATGTGGTAGGCGGTTTCATCCTCTATGCCAGGATTTCCCAACCTTTTTCCACAAGCGGGCTTATTTTAGGTTATGTGTCAGTTGGCTGCCACCGTGTTTTTATTTAATGTTAATTTCGGATAGGTTACTGTTTATAATATCAAAAAGGAAATGTGAAGTTCATTATTAAAAAGAAATATATATACGTACAGTAACAAACATCATTATTATTTCCAAAACTAATGAAACATATTTCTACATAAAAGGCAAAAAACACCAAGTTTAATAATTTTATAAAGAATTTATAAAATAGATTAACGCATTTTTAAATTAGAATTAAAAATTAATTAGAAGTAATATGGGCTATAACTAAGTATACAATAAATTTAATGCAGTATTACCAACAGTACCATTCATTTTATTACTTTTTACTACCAAAGAAAGAGATTAAACAAAATAATAGTGATGATATATCAATAAATAAATTTTATATTTTCAAATAATTCAATTATGCTTTTAAATTTTATATCTTGTCAGATTTTTAAATATACACATATTTAAGAAACAATTGAAAAATATTTGAATTAAAAATTCTGCAGCATGCCAGATTAAACAATAATGATGGAAAAAAAATTAAATTACGATTTTCAAAGTAATTGATCGTACTTATATTCAATTATTTATTGAATATTTATTTCAATAAATATTTTATTGAAATAAAATGAAAATGAATTATTTATTGAAATAAATATCCATATTTTATTAAAAACTTGTCGATCTACTGCAGACAACAGTAAAACTGTTGCCAGGGATGATCACCGATTAAGGTTATGTTAGAGATAGGCAGGTACAATTTTCACACGGGCACAAGTCCGGGTACGAGTGGCGTCACGCAGGCACAGTAGTACCCTCAAGCTCTAGGTTAAGAACTCCTGCTCTAGGCCACAAAGCCTACAGGTAGATACCTCAGTTGAGCCCAGATTAAAGGTGCGTGTACAGTTGTGTCACACACCTAATGGTGCTCCTGTCCATCGAAAAGAGTGAAAGAGCACTTCTCTTTGGAAAGGGTCCTTCTAGAAACAACTTAAAATGTGTGTTTCCTGAAGTGCTCCCAATGGAGCTTGGTTTTATTGCCAACAGCTGCCTTAATATGTCTTTTTACCTAGCTGAGGCTAATTCCACAGATGGCTTCTGGTGCTAAAAGCATCTGTGCTTAACCCTTCCTTGCAAGCCTATAAGCCTTCTCATTACCTAAGATTTCTGAGTGTCCAGGAACCCACTTAACCCTCACCTTTTTGGTACTACAGAGAATGTTTAAATTACCTTTATATTCATCCACCAACTTGGAACGGGTTTCATAGCCATTCAAGGCACCAATAGCTGCTTGGCTATCTGATAATATGGATATTAGCCTATTCATTATTCTTCTCTTATTAGGGATTGAGCACAAGCATTAATAGCTATTACCTCTGCCTGAAAGAGGTATATTCTACCTATACATAAGAATATTCCCTCATTGGGTTTATCCATTATCCAGAAGCCAGCTCCTGTGCCTTGTTGTTCCAAGGACCCATCTGTGTAACAGTTAACTCCATTACTGGGTCTTTAGGGTTAGTCATGCCAATCATTACACTACAATGATTTTCTCTATAATTATCAACTTGAAAGTCAGAGTTAACCAATTTCTCTTTTACAAGCCCAGAGGCAATGAAAATATTTATTAATTTTTTTTCATAATAATTCAGCAATTTCAATTTACTATAGAGGGTAATCCCAAGATACTTCACTTCACTACAGATATTTACCAAGGTACCATTTATGGGCAGCAGTCTAATTGTGATATTTCTTCTGTTAGTGAAGACACAAAGATTTACCTTCTATGAGTTTATGCCAAGTCCATTATCAAAGCACCATTCTTGCAGAAATTCCATAGTGTCTTTAACCATTCCACAAATTGTATATGAGAATTTGCTCTCTATTAACACAATGATATCATCAGCATATCCTTGATTATATAGCCCTGCAGCATCTAGTTTGATTAACCACAGAAGTGGAGACAGTACATCTCCTTATGGAAAACCCCAACAGGTTTTATCTACAGTTCAGTTTGTCCCAATTCGGATTTAAGAACTCTTCCCCTCAGAATCGAATTGATCCATCTAGAGGCCCAGAGTTCAACTCCTTTCCTTTCTAGGGCTTTCGCCATAGTTTTGTAAGGAGTATGATCAAAAGCAACTTCTATATCTACAAAGATCTCCTCCCTAATCCCTCTCTGAGCCAAGCTTTTTTCAATTATGAACTATGAGACTAAGTGATGCGATACCGTCTCACAAGATTTGCCTGTCTGATAAGCAAATTGGGGACAATTTAGTGGTCTTTAAGCTAACATAGAATCTCTAATATGTCTGTCCATTATTTTTTCTAGAACTTTTAACAAGAATGAGGTCAGACATATTGGTTTATAGGCCTTGAGATTGTCATAAGACTCTTTCCTATGTTTGGGTAAGTAACTAAATTTTGGTACCCTCCAACCATTTAGACTGTAGGCAAGTCCTAGGCCTCCCCTAAATAACTTGAGTAGATAGTGTTTGATGACAGGTAATACTTTTTGTTATTAGGCAGGGAAAATTCCGTCAATACCAGCTGATTTGAGTGGTTCAAATGTACTCATTGCCCATTAAACGTTCTTATAATTAACTATTCTATTAGCTTCTACCCACTTATCTCTGCCGCAAGTGCGACTACCCATTGGGGGATTAATTATATTATCATCCAACAGTTGGTAGCCAGGAAAGTGCGCACACACCAAAGCCTTCAAAGTTTCCTCAGAAGAAGAAGTGAACCCCTTTCCACCATGACCGCACCCATAACCATCCCATCCATTCACCTAGATAGAATCCTATTTAATCGGGAAGTGGATGAAGTGTCATTAATAACACTGCAGAAACTTCTCCATGCCCCCTTTTAGCCCTGTATACAGTCTTCTTATAATCAATGAGAGTGCGTAGTTGTCCCATCTACCCATTCTTTGGCAATATTAAAGAGTTTTTGAGTTAGAGCTCTCAATTTGCCAAGTTCATCATTCCACCAGGATATATTCATTTTGAACCTTAATGAACACTGTTATTATGAGTGTATCACCTCATTATTTCCTCGGTTAGTAAATAATTGAGACATTCTGATTTTTAATATCAGGCATCATGTGCCTAATGTTATATCAATGACTTCAGAATGGACTCTATTTACAAAGGTGACATTATTGCCTTTATTAAGAATCTCATAGTCATAGCTAGTTAGGTACTCTAAAAGAGACTCACCTATCCGTTTGTTATTGGTACTCTCCCAGAGCCTATGGTGAGTATTGGCTTGGTGAGCAAATGTCGCAGTGGGTATGCTCTTCATAGGTGAAATAAACCGTGGCCACTGTACTTTTCCCCTCATGCATCCTCTCAGAGAGAGGTTGTTGAGCTTTTGTCAGATCTCTGAAACAGTGATGCCACAGTGGCAACATTTTTAATTTATTTTTAAAATAGGATAAAGGTTCTTGGCCGCACAGGCTCAACAATAATGCTGTACCCAAGCACGTTCAGTCCCCTGATCCTATTGCTAAATAAGTAAAGTTCTTGAATTTATATAATATCAATATCCTTACATCTTACATACTGTTGGAGTACACTACAGACTGCTACTTAGTGAAACAAATCAATCTGCAGCAGCTTAATATTCATCATTTAGAGCTATTTTCTGGAGGATCACCCCGTGGCAGGGCCTGATGGGAACACCAGTCCCGGTATCTTTCTTAACAGTATGGCCGGGAACTCCAGCACCCACCAAGTAATGATTCTCCTTTGCTGGCACTGATGCTATCTTCATTTCACTAGTTGTATGGATATCCCCAAAAGATAATCGCCACTTTACTGCTCCCAGTAGCTAGAACTTAGGAGATTGCACTAGATTCCCCACTCCTGTCCCTCTTTGCCTCTGCCACCAAGTTCCCTGGTGAGGATCTAGTATTTATTGTTATTCTATGTGTAATAAGCTCTTATTTTATTATTCTAGTTTACTTGTCATGTTCCTTGTATAATCTTGATTTTCTGTGTTAATATTATGTTTTAATAATTTTATTTTCACTAGCTACTTAACTACTTTACTATTGTTACTGTTTTAACCTATTTTTTTAGATTTTGTGGCAACCAGTTTGATATTAAGTAAACTGTATCATATATTAGTTCCACAATGGCTTCGATTTGGTTATGAATTAAATGTACCAGCTGTTAAAACACATTCAATAAAATTAATGTCAAGGTAGTAGTTTTTCTATATTATTCATTTATGCATTTAATAATTATTACATACTAAATTAAATTAGTAAACTTAATCGAATATAAATTTAGACATGCTGTCAACATTACATTGAAAGAGATTAATCAGCTGGTGGCACCTCAAGAACATTTCACCTTTATATGTTGTGAAAACCTGGAAAGAAACAGAGCAGATTTGATCACTGGGTGCATTGAAGTACCTTGTTCAGCTAACTGCTTATTGATTTCAGGAAACATACCACATTGGAAAAGTTATAGTGATGGTGAAGTGGCTAATAATTTCGACACAGAACCAAAAAGTATGCCTTAAATTAAAATAAATTGTGTATTCATGAATTATTATTCTCAAACATATTAAGTATGTATCTAAATAAATTTACTTTTAGATCAAAAAACAAACCAAAAATTTTCACAGCTGACATTCTCATCACATGATACAGGGCAAATAACTATTCCTCGACAAACCTTTTTAATAGCATTAATTAATAATTATGAGGTTTGTACTTAATTTTTGTTGAGACAATTATTGTTGATTTTCATCATAAACATGTGAATTCTTTATAATTGCATTTTTACTGTTATAGGTTGATTTATTTATGTATAACTGGTCTAAAGATAGAGTAGAATTCATGACAAAGCTTTTAACTCAGCTAGGTCAATGGCTTGGTTCTCGATCTAACTTTTTAACCGGAATTATTACTCAAAAAATGGGTCTGTTTCATAACCAGCCTTATATGCGGAAATCAGCTGCACAAGTATGTAAAAAATATTTAAGGAAATATTTTTTTAGTTTGTAAAAAATCATATATGTATTTTTCCAAGATAATGTTGAAATTTATTATATTTTATTACAAATTTCTTGACCTTAGTACACATCCTTATGAACTTCAAATAATTGAGGTTAATTAGTTGATTTATAATTTGATATAAAAATTTTGAGCATTTGCTGTAATGACAGTTACTGTGACAGGAATTACAAATGCTGCTTAGAAGTTGTTTTCAAAAGAGATAAGTTGTGAAACATTATTATTTCTAAACAAAATGTATTAAAACAAAAATAAAAATCTTTTTTTAGGTTCTTCATTAGAGATAGTCAATAGAAACTAACAGATAAACTAATATTGGTTACTTAAAGTTTTAATGTACTATTTATTTATATTTTTGCATTCACCATACCCTCATAAATAATTTCTACAACATAAATAAATTTCAATGCTGATAATTCCCATCACCTTTATGCCGATGACTCAAATTTATTTGTCCTTTTCTCCTTCTGAGTTATATGTTACATTTACCAAGATTCAAGAAAACTTAGATTGAATCAGTGCCTTGGCAAACTATAACTAAATGACCATCCTATCACTTTTTGTTCTTCAGTTAAAAAAAAACTTAAACTTAATCATTGACCTAACTCTTTCCTTTAATCACTATATTGCCCACATCTCTCGATGATCTATTTTTATGCTTAAACTGTTCCACTGTTTCTACCATCTCCTATACAAACCAACTTGTTGACGCTTAGTGTTTACATGTTGATCACTGTAATGTGTACTTCAAACATTTAGTTTTAATCATTGATAAACCTTATTAATAACTAACAGTTACCCAACACCAGGGCATATTATTTGACACAGAGAGAGACAAAGATTCCCCGAAACGTACATATTAATAAAGAAAGATCTACAAATTGAGAGTGATTATTTATTGTATTAGACCTTTAGGCAAAAAGTAATAAGAAGATAAATAATATATTATATGAAAAAAATAATTTTGGAAATTTTACAGGTTAAGAAATACTAAATTATGTTCGAAGATTATTAAGTTTGCGTGAAAATGTAAATTTATATCCTTCCAATTTTAAAACGGATATTAACAATTTAATAATACATTTAGAGTACACACTAAATGATTTGGATACTATTGATAATCGTAAAAGTTGTATACGAAGTAATATAATAGGGAAAATAACTAATTGGCTTTATAATAGTAAAAATCAAAAATAAAGCTTTCTGAAATAATTTTTGTAAAATCAAACAAATTGTTATAATGGAAAAATATTTCTATTTAAAACATATTCACAAATTAATAGAAGGGAATAATAATTGTGCAGGTAAGAGGTCATTGGTTTAATATCACGATTATTAATGTGTATGCACCAACCAAAGAAAATGAGGATGAGGTGAAGGATGATTTCTACGATCAGTTAGAAAAAGTTGTGGACCAGACTCCAAAACATGACATAAAATTAGTCATGGAAGACTGTTGGGAGAGAAATTGATTAGTGATGGGAGAGAAACCCAATTCAAGCCCATCATCGGAGGCCAAAGTTTCCACGAAACTAGCAATGACAATGGAGTGGGATGCATTAGTCTGGCAGCAGCTAAAGGTCTAGTAGTAAGCAGTACGATGTTCCTGCACAAGGACATACATAAGTATACTTGGGTAAGTCCTAAGGGAGCAAAAAGCCAAGCTCAATTTCAAATTGAGCTGAAAAATAAATTTGAATCCTTGAACTCGGAAAGTCTCACGGTTGACCAACACTGGGAGGCACTAGAGTCAGGGCTAAAACAAACAGCTAAGGAAGTAATAGAGATTCAGGAAAAAAGAAAAGCCAAGAAATGGTTCACAGAAGCATACGGAAAGGCAGTGGAGGAAAGAAGAAAAGTCCTCTGCTTACAATCTGATCAAGCTATGCTGGACAAATACACAGCTGCCAGGAAAAAGACAAACAAAATAATAAGTACAGCCAAAAGAGAATTCCTCAAAGAAAGATTACAAACTATTGAGGAAAACTGGCAGGCTAGAAATATATGCGAATTCTTCGCAGATATCAGGAAAGAAAGGGTAGGATATAAAGCAAGAAATACACAAATACAAGGAAAAGATGGCAAATTGACGGCATCAAAAGAAAAGAACCTAAGCATCTGGAAGGAACACTTCCAGCAGCTGCTCAATCAAGGGCACCCCACAAACGAAGAAGACATGGACCACACTGAGGACATCAACCCACTTGAGGTTGAAAAACCAGATATTTTGGATGTGGAAATAGCTATTGGTAGGCTAGGGATAGATAACCTACCATCAGAATTGTTCAAGGATGGGGGAGAAGAACTCAGAGCCAAGCTGTTAGATCTAATCCAGAAGATATGGGAGAAGGAAGGGATACCAGAAGCATGGAACACAGGGTTGATTTGTCCTATCCTTAAGAAGGCCTCCATGTATGAATGTGGCAATTACAGAGGCATAGCACTTCTTCCGGTCACCTATAAAATAATGACTAATATTCTGCTATATCTGTATTATGAAAACATAAAAGGCGACCATCAAACAGCATTCAGGAGAGGGAGGAGTACGCTAGATCAGATATTCATCCTGAAACAAGTACTTAAAAAACGATGGGAAGTAGATCAGGACGTACATGCATTATTTGTCGACTTCAAATCAGCCTATGACTCCGTTGACAGAAACTGTCTCTGGAAGATCATAACTGAGCTGGGTGTTCCCGGGAAATTAGTGAAGTTGACGAAGGCATGTACAAATGATCCTAAATGCAGGGTACTAATACAAGGAGACGTATCTGAAGCCTTTGAAGTTTGAACTGGTTTGAGGCAGTGAGACGGACTCTCCCTGATGCTGTTCAACTTAGCAATAGAGAAAGTAATAATAATAACATCACACGAAGATGGAGTGGTGCACGTTGGAATGAAACATAAAATTCTAGCATATGCCGATGATATAGCTGTCCTCGGAAGTATTCAAGACTACAGGTCAATGTAGATAAAACAAAATACATGATAGCCGAAACATCCACCCTAATAACATGATATGTGTGGATTCTAAGTCATTCCCGAAAGTAGACAGATTCAAATATCTCGACTCCACAATAACCTCAATAAATAATCAACTACCAGAGATAGACCAGCGAATAACAAGTGTGAACAGATCTTTCTTCTCTCTTTCAAAGGTTCTGAAATCCAGAAAAATCTCCATAAATCTCAAAATAAGGGTGTACAACGCCGTTATTATGCCAGTTCTGCTGTACGGTTGTGGAACCTGGGCTCTAACCAGCACATTAGAAGCCAGAATTGAGAGATTCAAAAGAAAAGTTCTACGTAGGATAACATGGGACCAGAACCTTGACACATGGAGGAGAAGGAACAATAAAGAACTGCTTAAAGAAACGGGTCAGTCAATATATCATGACATGAAGGCAAGGAGGTTAAGATGGGCAGGGCATGTAGCTCGTAGTAACCCATCAGGACACCTCTATACGACAATGAATGCCAGAGTAGTAGGCAAGAGACCACGTGGGAGGCCAAAAACCAGATGGATAGATAGGATAAACAAAGATACGGCTGAGCTTCATGCCGCAAACTGGAAAGCAGTAGCCCAAGATAGGCAGAGGTGGAGAAGGCTGGTTCAGGCGGCCAAAGATCTACAAGGTCTGTAGAGCCAACCGAAAAAAAAAAAAAAAAATATATATATATATATATATATATAATGTATGTATAATCTCTATTCTTGTCCTTTATTTATTGGTTCTTCAAGAATAACCTAACTAGGGGACTATGCTTTGTCCTTTTTCGCTTAGCAGGCTTAATGGTTATCACTCATATGTTTTGATAATTTTTGCTTTGCCTTATTCATGTTTTTCTATTGCCTCTCAGAAAAAAATAAATAAAAATAAAGCACATGTACACTTATGCTCGCACACACAATACATCCACCCATATTTGTAATGTTATATTCAGTGGTGCCCATCCCCCCTAAGGTCAATGGTGCATGAACTTTCTCCTTCCTTCTTCAAAAATATTTTATTGCTATCCTCTTTTTAATAACAGTGCATGCTAAAGTATAATTTTAGAAATCATAAGTCATATAAATTACAGTTTCACTGGTCTATTCTATGCTTTCTTCTTGTCACCTGGTTTGAAACTTTTCATTTCGAAAATTCATAACATCTTTGAAATGTGCCCCCTCAAAAATTCAAAATCCCGTCAAAATGTGCCCCCATCAAAAACTTTGATTGCGCAACTTGCACCATGGAACCCCCTTCTTGGCACCCCTGGTTATATTAATTAATGTTTATATTATTGTGAAAGTTAATATTTTTTTATGGGTGCTGCTTGATTTTAGATCAATTATCCTGAAGGAAATGACTTAGATAGTTTGATGACTTTTGCTCCAACAGCTTCACGAAAAATCGGATTCAATACTTTGTCCAACTATACTCAAATATTGAGGGATTCTGAACCTGTTACATTAAAGAAAATTACAAATGATCCTGTTTGTGAAAATATAAATCAGATAATGAGTTTAAAAATATTGGACAGAAGAGGTTAGTACTGAAAATTAATTCATTAAGCTTTTTTTTTTTTTTTTGAAAGGTGAGTATTTAGTCTATTAAAGTTAAGGGGAAAGCAGTCTTACCCCAACATTCAAAAAAATAAAAGCGGGATTGTTCTAAATTGTACAGTACCATTAAGGGATAGCATATTAGAAAGTCCCAAGGTTTAGAGCATTGGATATAAGAGAGACGGGAGAGGAGTGCTTGCAACACCCAAATTATTGAAGTTTTTTGTTTTTATCATGATAACTACGCATTTTACAAAAAAAAATCACTGAAAAGGTAACAAGTCAACAAGGTATCTAAAGCAAGTAATTTATCAATCTATCATGAAACATCAGGAATTTCTGTTATAGTAGATGGGGGACATCTGATTCACTATGTTGTATGGCGATGTCCTGCATCTTTCAGAAATATATCTGAGCAGTACACTTGTAATGTTATTGCTTATTTTGGAAAATGTATCATGATTTTTGATGGATATGAACAGCAGTTCAGCACTAAAGCTGAGAGACACTTACAAAAATCTATCACCTGATGTGTATACGTGAATGCAGAAAACAACATTCAGGTGATCCTTGCATAAGAGAATTTCTTATCTCAAATAGGAAACAAGATGAGTTGCATATCTCTTTTGAAATCACAATTGCGAAGCATAGGATGCCAGGTACTGGAAGTAGATGGAGATGCTGACAGGATTATTGTGTCAACTACAATATTAAAAGTACAAGAAAAAGAAGGGGATATGTTAATCTGTGATGATGACACAACATAAATACTGTGCTAAAACATTTCAGCAATCCAACATGACATTGGAGAAATGAAAGATGTTCTACTTACAGTATACACTTATACTTGAATTAATATGGTTCCCTCTATTTATCGAAAATGCAAAGTTGCTCCTTATAAGAAATTTAAAGCCAGCAGTACTTTAAGTGGAAAGCTGTTGATCTTTATTGTCCCTACTGCCTCCCCAATTGATGTTGCTGTGGTTCCCCAATTGGTGAACTTTTTTTTGTGACCATTTATGGTTCAACAGAACAACTTTTTTTGGACAAATTATGCTACCAACTTTATATGAAATAAATAGGTAAGCAATCAGTTCATGAGCAGTCCAACCTAGCTGTACTTCTCCTCACAATGGCTGCAGCAAGAGAACATTCTCAACGTGTTTACCACCAGGTGAAAGAGTGGTGTGGGGTCACCAAAAATCATTTATATTGGGGATGTAAAAAATATCAAGATAACCTCCGTCCAATAACTACCATTTAGACTGCTTCACTGATGATTTTGATTCTCATTGTGAGTAGAAAAGAAGTGGATTACAGTGTTCCAGTATGTGCCGTAACTGTTCTGGGCATGGCTGAAACAACGCATGCTTTATGGACAAGATCTTGGAAGATGATCAGCCTTCAATGGACAAGGAACTTCCCATGCACCAAACAGATGATGATGAATAACGTGATGTGTTATAATAAATTTTTATACATAACTACTCATATGTATTTAGAGATGAAAAAAATTCGATTTCATTTTTTTTTTTCATTTTCATAATAAAGGTTCATCAGAACAAACATTGTTTTCTATTTCCTACATCCAGAATAATTATGAAACTACTAGGTTTAGCTAAAAAATGCATAGGGACATTTTTGTAGAGACTTTTCTTCTCTCCAACGTTGATTAAGGTAATTTTTTTGTAAAAATGTATAGTTGTCGAGATAAAAACAGGACTTCAATAATTTGGGTGTTGCACCTCCTCTCTCCTATACCCGACGCTCAAAACCATGGGGCTTTCTAGTATGCTATCTCTTAATGATACTGAACAATTTATAACAATTGCCGATTTTATTTTTTGAATATTGGGTTCAAAACACAATTTTTCTGAACTAATCGAAGACAGTTATGAACTAGTATTAACCCTTACTGTCACTTGCAAACAAACTAATTTGGATTTGCTAAATCTAAAGACTGGAAGTCAAAATTTCATTTTAAATTAAAAAATATGCAATAATTAGAAACATAAAAAAAAAATGAGGTGCTAATGTATTTAATTTATTTTGAATCCTCTAAAAACGTCAATACAGAATTTAACATCTAATTTATTGAAGGTGGGCTATTACATAGCGTGAGTCTGGAATAGCCTTGTTGCTTTGCTTATATAAAAAACCAAGTTTATTTATATTGTTATTATTTACCACAAAAAACATTTGTTCACAAAAATAGGTTTTATGCCTTTAAACACTAAATCCTAACCTCTGATCTTGTTTTGTGATCTCATTAATACAACTACTCTTGTCCAGTTTGTTATTTATCTGTATGTTGTTTTATCATTTATACTATAAGTGCACTATATTACCTTTATGCTTTATATTTGTTCACTTTTATTTATTTCTAGAGCAACAGAAAAAATTAAGAGTTATGTGGCAGAGTAGAGCAGCTACACATATACCAATGTCAGAAGATACATTAGAATTATTCATGCGCTATTCACGTATTGTGCATTATTGCCTTACTCCCCTTCTTTTTTTACCCAAGTATGGTTTATCGAAAGTTGGCTGTCTGTGTAATGAGATATTATATTTGTTTTAGATTGTATGGTTTTTTTTTTTTTTTTGTTTAAGTTGGAGACTTCAATCAGCTGCAACTCGAGATCAATCTCTTATAGTTAGTCCTCCTCTACAGGTAACTAAATCTTTTATTTATTTATATGTTGAGTAAAGTAATGTTAAATTTTGTCTGTTAGACTAAAGAAGACTGTTGGTACAGAAATAATTTTATTCTTCTATAATATAAATTATGTTAAATTTTCACTATTCTTCAAAAACATCGGTCATCTATTGTGTCATAAATACATACATATTATAGTTTAATCTTATTACAGTATTGTTAAAAACTAAACTATTGCATTAAATAGTCAACTCTGAGATTAAAAGACAATCTTGGACATATTTTTATAGGAAAAATTACAAGGATATGCTCTGCTATTAATGTTTTTACTTATTTTGAAGACAATATATATATATTTTTTATAACACTAGCTACAAATTAACAATGAACCATATATATGCTTTTTAATCATATTCCTGGCTTATTTTCCATTTAATGCATTTTCATTTGATACCTTATGGAATTAGTAAATATCTGAAACATTAGGTTAGGCAGTAACTAGACAAAGTTAGGTTGGTTTACTTGCTATTGGTACTTATTGATAGTGTTTACAAAAATGTATTCTTGAAAACAGTGCTATTTCTATCCTCCTTACACTTTCTGTTTCATCCCTTTTCATCTTTGTTTAAACCTTGATATACAATTTATCAAGTAGAAATTATTATTTCTACCCTTAGTTCCAGTTTCTGTCATTAAAAAATTTACAAGCTAGCTGGAGATTCAAATTTATTGATTATCTAGAAATATTATATTAATATGTCATATTTACATAACTTTTTTATTTGCGAACCTCCTATGACATCAATTACAATGAATTCCTCAATGTTTTATCTATAATACCTCCTTTCACTATTTAATTTCATATTATACTGTATATTATAATACTTTTTATGGCATATTTCAATGGTAGTTGCATATTAATGTAGTCGTTGGATGTAACCGGGGGAGTGGGGTAGCTCAGTGGTAGGACACTGAGCTTCCAAAGCAAAGGTCCCAGGTTCGAACCCCGGCTCATGGCAGAAAATTTATTTATCTGTTTCATTGGCCATGGGGCGACCCTGGGTTGAGAGTCCCTTCTGGGGCACATCCAGCCTCTATAAAGTGGGTACCCTTAATTAAATAATTAATTAAGGGGGAAAACCTGGCGGTTGAGCGTGATCTCGGTCAAATCACCTCCTTGCACAACCGTTGACTTAGAAACAGTACTTTCCCTAAATAGTACTGAACCCCAGACCCTTCATGGGTTGTAGCGGTTCAGGTTTTTTTTTTTTTGGATGTAACCAGTGTGAACAAATCAGTTAATTTAGGTGCTTTTAGATACCCAAAGAAAGTATCTTTATCCCTTTTGTGGTAAAAATATAAGATGAACCTAGATGGGTGGTCTACATTCTTTCATTAAGTTTCTAAACAAATTACAAATTCATTTTATGGCTAATACATTAACTAAGGATGTATCCAAATCTGAAAGTATTTATCAAACAATGATGGGCATAGTTAAATCCCTGTTAGCTTAACCTATTTGTGAATAATGTCATCATCTTTACCTTTTGTTAGATTAAATTTAGCTGGTATAATAACATAATTATAAATATTTAAGGCCAAGATTCCATTTAAAATATGCCTAAGGAAACGTTATCACTAAATGGTATTTTTTTTTTAGTACAATATTGTACTTTCACCATGTTCAGAGTGAAAAATGTACATAATGCTATCTTATGCACATTATACTTTCTTTAGTTGTTTAGTAACTTAATAAACAATTTTCTGTTCAATTTTTGTTATATTATTTTTTAAAAAATTTTTTATTATTAGTTTTACTACTACTCCTTAGCTCTACAGACCGATGTGGTCCTTGGCCTCCTTGACAAGTCATCGCCAGGTAGCTCAATCTTGTGCTGTAGCTCGCTGGTTGTAGATGTTAAGTAGGTTGCAGGCATTCCTGACAACACTGTCCTTCTATCCAGCAGATTACTGAGTATTTCTCCCTACGGCATGTGTGCAAGGTAGCCAGTCTACCTCTGTTTTTCCAACCTAATATACCTGATTACATCAGCTTTGCCATAAAGTTGATAAATTTCTGTATTAGTCCTCTACCTCCATTCCTCTCCGACTCTTCCTGGCCCAAATATTTGTCAAAATGTCTTTCTTTCATATAAGAATCTCCCTCTCCTTATTACTAGCAAGAGTCCAGATCTCTGATCCATAAGATAGAATATTTCTAATAAGTCTTATACAAGATGCACTTAGTATGGCTTGAGAGGTAGGAACTTCTCAGGTGCTTCCTGATACCAAAATAGCATCTGTTGGCTTTGATGAGTCACTGACTGGTTTTCTCCTTGATCCTGTTTCCACAACTCACTATTAACCACAGATTAACCACTTTCAATTGAACTCGAAGCGGTTCAAGTTCTCTCAAAGCTGCATACAACTTGGGCTTTTTAATGCAGTCTATCAAAATCAAAACCAAAATCCTGAAATCAAAAAAGAGGTGGTGAGTAATCATTTGATACTCCTGGGACTTCTCGAGGATCATCCGGTGACTGAACAGTTGATCAACTGTAGATCTTCCTCCTCTAAATCCTGCCTGTGATATTTTCCAATATTTCTCTCTGCAAATGGTAGAAGCTTCTTATAAATTACATTAGATAGAACCTTGTGATGCACTGCAGAAGTGAAATACCTAATAGTTGGAGCATTCCAGAATGTTGACTTTCTTGTGAAGCAGATAGATCATCCCTCGCTTCCACTTTTCTGTCATTTTCTCTTTGATCTAGACTGTGAGGATGGCATTGTTTTAGAGAGCTCTCAACAATTATTCCCTTCTCCCATCCGAATAGTCTTCAGATGCTCTTCTCTTATGCCACTTCTGGACCATGTTTCAATAAGTCTTGTTTTTGGCTTCCACGGCTGTCGCACTATTGAGACTCCACTCTTTCTCCATTCTCCATTCTCTCTTCCACAGTCTGTGTAAAGATAAGATGTTCCTTTTGGCAAATGACAAGTCCATTTGACGAATCCTAGACCTTTTCCTTACAGTCAGTCCGGCTATTTCTTGTTGAAATCTCGATGTGATAGGTTTTTTTAAAGGAATGGGGTTGCAACCCCATGCCCAACCCTCCTTCATCCAGGCTTGGGACTGGCAGTGGTCCTACCTATGATGCTTCCACTGGCAGCTTATTAGATTTAATTTGTTAAAAATATATATATTGTTTCTTTTACTACGCTCTTTCAAGTCTTCAGGTTCATTGTTATTATTTTTGTGTAGTTAGTTAATGAGTAATCAAATATAATATAAAATCCCATTTCATAGTTTAATTTACATTGTTATATGGTTTAAGAAAAAAATATTAAAGTTTTCTTTTAATCAGGATACTGCATTTAAAAGTGGCAATAAGCCATTTCTGAAGAGGTAGTAAAAATGATTAAAATTATATTTTGAAATACCTGAGCTTATGACTATATTAGAACTTGCTTAAATCAGAATTATGCAATCCTCTTTCATTTAAATATATATATTAATGATATTTCTACAATTGTAATTACATTAATTAACGAGCTATGTGTGTTATTAATATTTTTTTCATTACTATTTATGTTTCAATATAGGTCTATGATAGTAGTAAAAGGCAAGAATTTGATTGGCATGAAAAATTATGCTTGGTTTTTTTGAATGAGTACAAACAGTATCTTCAGACATTAGGATTTGTTAATATACAAATGGCTCCAAGCACTCCCTTGCAAATGTACGTATTTATTTATCACAGATATTTGTATATATCAATCTTATCAATGTAGTGTTTTTATGTTGATTTTGTTGTTTATAACTTTCAGGAATCAGAGCATATATGATTCTAGAAAAGGCTCTAAACATTTTTTGCAGCGATCTTTGCTTGGTGGAGTCTTAATGTTTGAACTATCATTGTGTGAACCCTTTTTTCATGTAAAATTACATGCCTTAGAATGTTCTCGAATCCAGGGTAAATCTACCCCCTCCCTGATTACACAAGTAAGTTATATGTATTCTTCTCCCCCATTTTTAAATTAGTTTAAGCTAACTTTTATTTAACTTTAAACAATTTTTATTTTTAAAATTTTCCTGAAACTACAATTAAATATTTATTGTGAAGTTATTTATATTCAATTATAATATTTTAAATAATTTTACTGATTATAGATGAGTTTTTATCAATGAATTTAAGGAAATAAATAGAATTTATTTACAAAAAAGTACAATTTAAGTTATATTGTATGTTGATTTTGATTTCTAGTACATAAAGAAAGATATGAAGGGTAAACAAAAATATCAGCAAATATTGTCATGAATTTAGTTGTTACACTAACAAACTATTATCAGATATTTTTGAGAACTTTAAAACAGTATAAAAATTCATGTAAAAGAAAAAAATAATTAGTTTTGAGAATATTTTTGAAATTAGGAGCAAATTTTTCACTTAATCTAGAGTGTTTAAACTTTAATGACTCTTTTGTACTGAAATGGAACCAGAAAAAACAGTTTTGAAGAATAACTTCTTTTTTTTTATCTGTGAAAACGTAGATGAGGAGGAGGTAGGCTTTGTTAATGATAATAATTTATACAATTAGTGTAACAACAATTTTTTACTATATTTGTTAATATTTTTATATTTACTTTTTGTATAATTCTTTATATACGAGAAATAGAAAACCTAAGAATAAAAAAGTATATTAACCAAATAATAATTATAATATAACTAAACAAAATTAAAAAATATATCTAATCTTAGAGTGTAACTGCCTAACATAATTATTACTAGCCCTCATTTAGTTTCTTTTTAGTTAATTTTTAATTAAATTTTCACATAGGCCATTTTTTCCATAGAATTCTTGATTATGTTTTGCAGTTGTTATGTTGTCTTCTATTAGTAGATTTTCATTCTATTCATTTTTTTTTTTTTTAATATTTATTTGTTTCAAACATATTATGCTCAACTTTATGTATTAATACTAGATTATTTTTTAAAGATATTAAAAAAAACAAAAACAATATGGTCTTATCCCTATGCTTCTATTTTAGATTGTTTTTAACTTTTTGGAAGAAATTGATAAGATGAAGGTTTCAATGCATCTTCATTCATTTGCTTATGATTATCATCTTCGATGTCTCCATTCATACATTTCAGATCCTCAATCTTACTTAGAGACAGAATATCACATAACTAGTTTTCTTGATGATTTTTTAAAGTATTATCCTAAAGCTCCAAATTTTGCTCGGAATTTGGCATATTCAGGTACTTATACGACTTTTTTTAACAGATTTTATTTATGATAACTTGATTTATAGTATTATTGAATGTTATTTTGTTTATATATTTTTCTGAAAACTGATTATTGCAATAATTTAGGTGAGGATATTTTTAATGATTTTTAAAAAAATTATTAGGATGATAAATAATCAAAAATTGGAGTCTTGTTTGTTTTATTTACCTCACATATGTCAAATGTCACTAACAATGTGGGTCATCATTAGAGACCGGATTTTTGTGCAGTAGAAATCTGCAAATTGTGTAAAATTGTATAGATAACATGCAAATATCATCAGTTTTGTTCAATTTATAAGATTAGTGCTTGTTTATTTCTATATTAACAGTTATAGCCTCTAAATTGAAATTAGGTATAACTTGTATTAACGTGAAAAAACTTTAATTCTAATTTTAAATGAACAATGATTACCTTAATTCTGTATGAAATAAAAACAGCTTCTAAAAAATAATCATATATTATTTTTAAAACGTGAATTTTTTAATTGAGGCTTGATTTCACAGCTTTAGGTCAATTTAAATTTTTTAAAAGTGGATTTTGAGTAAAGCTTCTTAGACTTTATTGTTAAAATCCATAGTCCTTCAAGTAACCCGGCAGCGTTTTGTCAAATAAGCCAGCGGCAAACAAACGTTTATTAACAAATACTTCCATACTTGTTTGTTTGAAAAGTGGAACATAAATATACACATGTTGTTGAACTATAAAAATATATTTTGGAATGGCGAATAACAGAACTATGAGAATAAGAGGCTTTTTAAGTGACTATATGCACTTGCATTAAATTAAATTATTAAATATCTTATCCCCAATCATACTATTATTTATACAATAAAATGTGTGTATTTCAATAGTAATTTTTTTACCTATATCAAAGAAGTGGAGACTAAAATATCTTTTCAGCCCAGAAAGATAACTTGAAAATGTTATTTTGTTAAAATTATTGAGTGGACAAACACAGTTAAGTTCCGTTTAGAAAAAAGTCATAATTTATTTGTTTTTGTTTTTTAACCACCTTTAAATATATGGCATTTACCCAAATTTTAGAAAAACTTCCCTGTTTAATAAGCTTTAAGTCCATATTAATTAAGTTGAGGTTTATTAGGAAAAATTTTAAGATTCACCTCAAGTTATATAAAGAAATGATAAGATTTCCTATCCAGTCACCTAAAGTACCCGTGTTTTCTGCAAAAATGACTACATATTTAACTGTTGCAAAGCTTTTATTATTTGTTATCCCGTGATATGGGATGTATTGTAACAAACATAATTGCCTAAAAACAATTTATTTAAAAAAAAAAATTAATTTTGATATGTCAGTTGCATGGCAGAGATTTTTATTAATTTTTAACAGATATTTGAAAGTTAGAATTATTGTTATGATTTCATCCTATACAACTGATGGTGTGGGATATAAATTATACAGAATATAAACAGTTTCTTCAAATATTGGAAGAGATATAGCATAAATAATTTCATTTTCATGCATAGCGGATTCTACAAACATTGTTTGTTCAATATCAAGGATAAATTTAGATTAAAATGGATATAGAAATTTATTTTTACAATGTGAAGAAATTTTCTCTAACTCTTAAATAATAAAGTTTTATTATTAATTATAGAAGGATGCCTAGAAATTACATTAAATGAATTATAATTAATTAAATTTAATCTTATATTGTTTATTATGGTATGAAAAATTAAAACAACGATTTATGAATTATTAATGAAATAGTTTCATGTTAAAAAATGTATATATTTTATTTTATATGTTTGGACATGATTGCCATGTTTTGAACTGTAAGAGCTCATATGTCCTGAACTCTCTGGTTTAATTATATTTTATATTTTAGAGTCATTACTCTTTGTAATTATTACCATATATTTTAATATATTTGGGCATGAATGCCATCTTTTGAACTGTAAGAGCTCATATTTCTTTAACTCTCCAGTTAAATTATATTTTAATATATTTGGGCACGAATGCCATCTTTTGAACTGTTAGAGCTCATATTCCCTGAACTCTCCAGTTTAATTATATTTTATATTTAAGAGATATTACTCTTTATAATTATTATCTTATATTTTAATATATTGGATGATATGATGGGAAATAGATCAGGATGTACACACCTTATTTGTCGACTTAAAACCAGCCTATGACTCCGTGGACAGAAACTGTTTTTAGAAGATTATGACTGAGCTGGGTGTTCCCAGAAAGTTAGTAAGGTTGGCAAAGGTGTGTACAAATGATCCTAAATGCAGAGTACTAATACAAGGAGAAGTATCCAAAGCCTTTGAAGTCCGAACAGGTTGAGGCAGAGAAATGGACTGTTGTCAATGCTGTTCAACTTAACCCATGAGAAAGTAATAAGAACACCACACGAAGATGGTGGGGTGCACGTTGGAATGAAACATAAAATCTTAGCATATGCGGATGATATAGCTGTCCTCGGAAGCTATCAGGAGGATATTGAGAGACTCGTTTGGACTCTGTTAAGAGAAGCAAAGCAAATTGGGCTACGAGTCAATGAAGATAAAACAAAATATATGATAGCCGAAAAATCCACCCTAATAGCATGATCTGCGTGGACTCTAAGTCATTCCTTAGATAGAAAGTAGATAGATTAAAATACCTCAGCTCCACAATAACCTCAATAAATGATCAATTAACAGAGATAGACTAGCAAATAACAAGTGCGAACAGAGCTTCCTTCTCTCTTTCAAGAGTACTGAAATCCAGAAAAATCTCCATAAATCTCAAACTAAGGGTGTACAACCTCGTGATATTAGTCAGTTCTACTGTATGGCTGTGAAACCTGGGCTCTAACCTGCACCCTAGAAAGCAGAATTGATAGATTCGATAGAAAAGTCCTCTGTAACATCAGTAACAGGACCTATCTGGAATCAGAACCTTAACACACGGAAGAGGAGGAACAATAAAGAACAGCTAAAAGAAACTGGTCAATCAGTATCATATGATATGAAGGCAGGGAGGTTAAGATGGGTGGGGCATGTAGCTCGAAGCAGTCCATCAGGACGCCTTTACACAACTATGAATGCCAGAGTAGTAGGCAAGATAAATCCATCTTGGAAATTGTTGTTTGGCAGACAGACTCGTTTGGAATCACAAGAAAGAGGATATCCCAAAGAGTTAAAGTTGAGTAGATGATAGTGTTACCATTTTGGAAGATGTGTTTGGCAGAACATAAGAAAATGTTAAAAGACAAATGAATTTAGTGCAACAAAAGGAGAAACAGTATATATAGAAAAAAGGTTTGCTTGCCAATCCATACTTGACTTTATTTTAAAATGAGTGTTTAATCTTAGTATAAATAGTGTAAATTAAATAATAATAGTTTGTCTAAGTGTTTTGGACTGATAGTTAGTAACCCATACCTGAGATAAAATAATTGTAAATTTCAATTTAATATATTAATACTGTTACAATTTTGTTTATTATTTAATAACCTCTTATTTCTTTGAGAAGTATCCCTAAAGTATAAAGTGAGCTTCTGAGGTTATATTATTTGTAAAATACAAAGAGAGATGTTACTATATATATATATATATATATATATATATATATATATATATATATATAAGTTAAGCGTCGTCGGACTTGAGAAATAAAAAAAAAAGGAAAAGGGAAGAGATGCAACACACACGGCTTCTGAATAAACACTGCTTTATTCGATCAATAATTCCTCTTATATACATTTGGCATGTTTGTTTACATTGCCCGATGGTATTAAGGCTGATATCGCCAGTCTCCGGTCTTTATCTCCCCCCCACCAGTTTACGAACAGGCTTTTCGGAAACTTAAATAATCCTAGATCGGAGTCAACGATGACCAGCCTTAACACTTTACAATTGTTCTTACAATATACCCCTAAAAAAAAAAAAAAAAAAAACACAAAAACTAAACACAACACTTGAGAACTCTTAATAACCTACACACAAAACAAAACAACAAAAAAAAAAACACACTTTCCACTACAGTATCGCTATAATTCTATTTACATGAAATAATAATAAAAAAAAATTACACAATTCTTATGTTTTGACAGGCAAAAAAAACATATTTTCTCTTTTTTATATACAGCGGTGAGGGTACTACGAATCCGTAGGTCTATGGTCCGGCTCTATCATTGGGAGCTTTAATTGTTCGATATGAACGGTTCTCCTCTTTCTGGGCTCATTCACGCTTTCAATAGTTAACAGGTTATGCTCCCTAATAGCAACCACTCTGAATGGACCCTCGTACCGTAGCAATTGTTTCCCTCTGTTGGTTCCCAATCTCCGGTAAACTATTGTTCCTATTTTTAGTTCCCTCATTTGGTCGCGTACCTGCACATTCTGCCTTTCCACCCGCTTCTGCTTTTCCCGCTTAATTCTCGCCGTTATCTTTCCCCATGTTTTCTCTACCTCTACCCTATTGCTGAGAATTTGATCCACTACCGGTTCGGTAAGCGTAGTTTCTCCATAATCCCGCCTTGGCCTGCTCATCCCGAATAGAACTTCTATGGGTGAAAATCCCGTTACGGAGTGGATCGAGTGGTTATAGGCTGTTACCGCCTTCCTCATTGCCACATCCGGCTCCAACCCTTTTTCCCCCTGATATACACGGATGTGGTCGCTTAATGTGCTGTGCAACCGTTCGATACCGCCTCTACCTTTAGGATGTCCTGGGGTGTTATAATGCCACGCAATTTCCAATCGCTTCACCTCCTCCATAATCGCGGCATTGTCGAACTCCCTACCACCGTCCGATGTAATCCTCTCGGGGACCCCATACAACTGCACCCAGGTTTGTAGGGCTTCCGCAACTGCATTGGATGACTTATCCCTCACTTGATGTGCCATCGCCACCTTGCTGAATATGTCGATTACCGTGACCCACTTAAACCCTTTCCAGGTGAATGTGTCAATCTGGAGGTCTTGTAGCGGCATATTCCCTGTAGGTGTCTCC